ATTTCTTAAAAGCAAATCTAGTTTAACTGCTGAAACATTTATTTTTTTCTGTTTGGTGCTGGAATAAGGATATATTGTTTTAACATATAAAAAGCTCATATAAGATTATAACTTAAGAAATAACAAGTTTTTCATAACACCGCTAACATTTGTGAACATTAATATGTAATGTTTTTATTTTCTTCTTAATACATTTATAATTTTTTTTTTTCTTTAAAGGCAAATCCTCCTCCAGTACTGGTCAACACAGATAGCTTGGAAACACCAACTTATGTAAGTTTCCTTTCCTCCCCACATTCAAATAATTCTGCCTTTCCTGTTCAGTTTTTGATACAAATACAAACGTCATGGCATTATTTTCTCTAATACATTTTACTTAATATGCTCTTTCACTATATACTATAGCTTTATTGTAGTATGGTCCTTCTTTGGTGGTTTTGTGTTTTTTTTTTCTTATGTAAAACAAATTTTGAAATAGAAATTTATAGTTTAATTTTGAAATTTTGATAGCTAACTTTTACAAAAGGTTGTCTCTGGCCATTGGCACTATATTGTCACTTACATAGCACTATATATTCCAATTATTTTAGAAGTCTAATCAAATGGCTAGATTTTTAGTAACCAAATTCATATATTAAAATAACTAGTTATAACTTTGTAATTTTTAATTGATTAGTGCATCTCTCTAAACTTCATTTGTTAAAAAACCCTATTTCCCTGAAAGATCAATGGCCAGAACAACCATTGATCTAACGTTTTTCACCCCAAAGGAAAATAACTTTGGAGATACAGAAATAGTACCTGTGTATTATTGTTGTTGCATTTTAATCAAATGGCACATAATTTTACAGGCTTTAAAAATTATTTCTCCCCTTTTTGAACTGTAACTGATCTTCTGTCAGTACTTTCAAATATTTTATTTGGCTTTTTATTCTGTTTGTATTTATATAAATATGGGTGTATCAGATATTTGGGGATTTTTGAAAATATTCAAATAATAAGACTTAATAGCCAACCAAAAAAGCTGTTCTACACTTTTTCTCAGAGTCTTTATTTCATTCAACATTATCTTTCACACTGATGTAGAATATTTAGTCAAGCAGAATTTTGCTAGTATTTGCTTCACATATGATTTTTGTTCTTCCTCACTTGTTCTTTTTGTTTAGATATGTCTTGTATAGGGGCATAGTCAATGATTAAATGTTTTTATTTTAACATCCTTGAATAAGAACTAATGGAGAAAATGATAATCTCAAAAGAAAATAAGTTCATATGCATTTTAGAGGAAATATCAAATTGAAAGCAAAATTAGCATACCAACCAAGAAACTTAAAGTTGTATAATTTCAATTTTGTGTGACATATTCTTGAAAAAATATTTTCCGTGCTAAGCAAGGTATGTTGGAGGTCTTAAAGACCACCCCTGTGATTGAAGTTTCGCTAGAAGGACTCACAAGACCGAGCATATAGTTTACTCATAGCTAAAACTTATTACAGCTATACAGTAAAGTGAGTAAGGATCTGTAATCAGATCATAGGGCTGTATGTCTAGAAGAAGCCATATATAGACTTCCTTACACTTTCTTCCTCCCATGAGGGGTCACACATAGCATTTTGTCCCGCAGCAGTGAAAATGCAGCAAACAACATTTTCTGCGTGTTTCTGCCCAGGAAAGCCCAGAATCAAGCTCAGCAATCAGATATTTTATTGTCAGTTGATCCCATAGACGTCCTCTGTCTAGTACTTGCCAAATTTCCATACTCACAAAAGAAAAGCAGTTGTTCAGCATAATATGTATTATCTCTAACATAAAGTTTAGGCACATTAAACCACCGTATCAGTTGGGAAATCATGAGATCCAATTTCCCAAGACATCAGCTAAGACTCAGTCTTGAAAGCAAGCCTTTTTAGAGAGAGCAGCCTCAGACCCAGTGTGTTAAGTAACCCTTTTCTGTACATAAGAAAATAAGTTAAATTCCAGTTTCTCAAGCAAGATTTGTCAAAGGGTGGTACTTTATCATATTTAAAAGAACACTACGAATGTTTGGTATTTTTATCCCTTTAGTATTGATGTAAAGGAATACCTAAGGCTGAGTAATTTATTTTATCTTTTTTAAAAAGTAGTTTATTTGGCTGATGATTCTGCTGGCTGGAAGGTTGGGCCTCTGATAGAAGCCTCAGGCTACATGGCAGAAGGCAAAGGGGAACCAGCATCTTCAGGATCACATGGTAAAAGAGAAAGCAAGAGAGAAGGGGAAGGTGCCAGATTGTTTTTATCAGCTCTCATAGGAAGTAATAGAGTGAGCACTCACTCATTACCATGAGGACCGTACCAAGCCATTCATTGAAGGATCCACTCCCATGACCCAAACATCTCCCATTAGACCCTACATTTTAACATGAGATTTGAGTGACAAACATCCAAACTGCATAGCAAGTAGCAACTATTCAATGTGACCCTTGGAGCACGCACGTAGGCAAAAACAATATGTTTTGTTTGGGTAAAACAACTTTAAACTTTTAGGAGACTGAGGAATTTCATTCCAAAATTTAAAATATGTTCTAGAATGTTTTTTAAATATTTTTTATCCATTTGTTAATTCCCTGATCACTTATTATTTGCTGTGTATTGATGAATATGAATAAGAAAAACTGTATCTGCCACCTTAAAACACATTTTTTTCTGGCTGCAGTTGTCACACATTCCAGAATTAATTAATTGAAAAACTAATGCATATACATCATACAAAATTCAGAGATACAAAGAGACATCCAGTGAAGAGTAAATCATTCTTCCACCCCTGCTCTCAATCTTTGAGTTCCTCTTACCTAAAGCTAAAAGTGTTACTAACTTTACCTCCTTGTATGAACATTATGCATGTGTAGGCCCATCTAAGTGTTGTTTCCAAACTTTTACCCTTTAAAATCAATGCCCTAGTCATAATTTTTGTAGATATTCTTGTGTGTATGTGAAAGTGCAGTCTCAGTCAACCCATGGGAGATTGGTTCTGGGGGCCCTGCGGATGCTAACGTCTCTTATATGTAAAATGACATAGTATTTGCATGTAACCTGTGCATGCCTTCCCATCTACTTTGTCATTTCTAGAATTACACCTAATAGAATGTAAATAGTTGTTACATGCTATACTTTTAGATTTGTAATTTTTTTTTTATAGAAGTTTTTAAAATTGTTTTTCCTTTTTCCCCAAATATTTTTTGTCAGCAGTTGATTGAATCCACAGATGCATAACCTGTAGTTTTGGAGGGACAACAAGACATAATCAGAATATATTCATATAAATGGAATTGCTTAGAAACTGTGTTAATTTGGCTGGGCACGGTGACTCACACCTGTAATCCCAGCAATTTGGGAGGCCAGGCAGGCGGATGACTTGAGGCCAGGAGTTCAAAACCAGACTGATCAACATGGCAAAATCCTGTCTCTACTAAAAACACAAAAATTAGCCAGGCATGGTGGTGCACAACTGTAATCTTATCTACTTGGAGGGCCGAGGCATAAGAATAGCTTGAACCCAGGAGGCGGAGATTGCAATGAACTGAGATGAGATCCTGGCAGTCCCTTGACAGGTTAAACATAGAGTTATTGTATGACTCAGTGATTTCATTCCTAGTTATATACTCAAGAGAAATGAAAACATGTCTATACAGAACTTGTAATGATGTTCATATCAGCATTATTCATAATAGCTAAATAGTGGATACAAACCAAATACATATCAACTGATGAGCAGGTACACAGTTTGTAGTATATCCAGACAATGGAATATTATTTGGCAATAAAAAGGAATGAATTACTGATGTGTGCCACAACATGGATGAACCTTGAAAACATTACGATAAGTGAAAGAAGCCAGACACAAAAGTCCACTTGTTGCATAATTTTATTTATATCAGAGATCCAGAATAGACAAATACATAGTTACTGAAAGTAGATTAACAGTTGTCAGGTGTTGGGTGTAGGGCAGAATGGGGAGTGACTACTAATAGTAGGGTTTGTTTATGGGTTGATAAGGATGTTCTGGAATTAGAAAGTAATAATGATGGCACAACTCTGTGAATAAACTAGAAACTACTGAATTGCATACTTTAAAAAGGTAGATTTTGTGGTATGTGAATATCTCAACAATTTTTTAAGGTGAAAAAGTAGAAAAAGGTAAGTAATAACATAAAAGCAAATTAGAACAATTAATACATTTTAAACATTACGTTGCCAAAAGATCAAAAAGTTTATCAGTAGATTCTGATGGTGACAGTATGGGGTAAAAATATACTGATACATTTTTGTTAAAGTATAAATGGATAAAACTTTAGAAAATGCCATTTTGTGATAATGATCAAGTCTATAAATCAGTACCTTTTTTCCTATATTTTTTCTTTTGTAACGTTTTGTATTATATCCAAGAAGCCATTGCGTAATCCAACATCACAAAGATTTACACCTCAGTTTCCTTCTAAGAGTTTTATAATTTTGCTTCTACATTTTGGTCTCTGGTTCATTTTGAGTTGATTTTTGTATAGTGTGAAGTAGAGGTCCAACTTCATTCTTTTGTATGCAGTTATTCAGTTTCCCCATCATTGTTGAAAAGACTATTCTTTCCACATCGAATGGTCTTGGCAAACATATAGAAAATCAATTAACAGTAAATTATGGGTGAAGGTGTACCTTTCTAATTTCTTTCAATAATGTTTTGTAGTTTTCTGTGTACAAATCTTGCAGTTCTTTTGTTAAATTTATTTCTGAGTATTCTTTTTTCTGAGACAGAGTTTCACTTTGTCACTCAGGTTAGAGTGTGTTGGCACAATCTCAGCTCACTGTAACCTCCACCTCCCAGGCTAAAGTTGATCCTCCCACCTCAGTCTCCCAATACTTGCAACCACAACTGCCTTTTTTTTTTTTTTTTTTTTTTTAATTTTTGGTAGAGATGAGGTTTTCCCATATTGCCCAGGTTGGTCTCAAACTCCTGAGCTCAAGTCATCCACCTGCCTCAGCCTCCCAAAGGACTGGGATTACAGAGGTGAGCCACCATGCCCAACAAGTATTTTATTCTTTTGTTGCTGTTATAAATGGAATTGTTTTATTTTTGTAGTTTTTATTATCTTTTATCCTGCAACTTTGCCAAACTCATTTATTAGCACTAGTAGTTACATAGTTTGAATTTTCTATGTACAAGATCATGTCATTGGCAAATAGAGATAGTTTATCTCTGGATGCCTTTTATTTCTTCTTTTTATTTTAAAGGATGGGAAACCTCAGGGTTTTATTTTTTGGTTTTTTGGATATTTTATTTATTTTTCAGTAGGTTTTTAGGGAGCAGGTGGTGTTTGGTTACATGAATAAGTTAGTGGTGATTTCTGAAATTTTGGTTCACTTGTCAACTGAGCAGTGTACCCTGTGCTCAGTGTGTAGTCTTTTTATCCCTCACCACCCTCCCACGCTTTCCTTTGAGTCCCTAAAGTCCAATGTATCATTCTTATGCTTTTGCATCCTTGTAACTTAGCGTCCACTTATGAATGAGAACATACTATGTTTGGTTTTACATTCCTGAGTTACTTCACTTAGAATAATAATCCAAGTTGCTGCAAATGCCATTCTTCCATTCCTTTTTATGGCTGAGCAGTATTCCGTGGTGGTTGGGTGGGTGTGTGTGTGTGTGTGTGTGTGTGTGTATATGTGTGTACGTACATACCACATATTCTTTATCCACTCATTGAAAAATGGGCATTTGGGCTGGTTCCATCTTTTTTTTTGCAATTGTGAATTTGCGAATTGCACTGCTCTAAACATACATGTGCAAGCATCTTTTTCATATAATGACTCTTTTTCCTTTGGGTAAATACCTAGCACTAGAATTGCTGGATCAAATGGTAGATGTACTTTTAGTTTTTTAAGGAATCTCTGTACTGTTTTCCATAGTGGTTGTACTAGTTTACATTCTCATCAGCAGTGTTACAGGGTTTCCTTTTCACTGCATCCACGCCAACATCCATTATGTTTATGGCCATTCTTGCAGGGATAAGGTAATGTCACGTTGTAGTTTTGATTTTCATTTCCCTGATAGTGATGTTGAGCATTTTTCCATATGCTTGTTGGCCATTTGTTTATCTTCTTTTGAGACTTGTCTATTCACGTCCTTAGCCCACTTTTTGATGGGATTCTTTTTTTCTTGCTGATTTGAGTTCCTTGTAGATTCTGGATATTAGTCCTTTGTCAGAAGTATAGATTGTGAAGATTTTCTCCCACTCTGTGGGTTGTCTGTTAACTCTGCTGATTATTTCATTTGCTGTGCAGAAGCTTCTTAGTTTAATTAAGTCCCATCTGTGTATCTTTGTTTTTGTTGCATTTGCTTTTGGATTCTTGGTCATGAAGGCTTTGCCTAAGCCAATGTTTAGAAGGGTTTTCTGATCTTCTAAAATTTTAATGGTTTCAGATCTTAGATTTAAGTCTTTGATCCATTTTGAGTTGATTTTTTTAAGGTGAGAGATGAGGATCCAGTTTCATTCTCTACATGTGGCTAGCCAATTATCCCAGCACCATTGTCAAATAGGGTGTCCTCTCCACACTTTGTTTTTGTTTGTCTTATTGAAGATCAGTTGGCTGTAAGTATTTGGCTTTATTTCTGGGTTTTCTATTCTGCCTTCATTCTGTGTGCCCATTTTTATACCAGACCCATGCTGTTTTAGTGACTATGGCCTTATAGTATAGTTTGGAGTCAGGTAATGGGATGCCTCCAGATTTGTTCTTTTTGCTTAGTCTTCGTTTGGCTATGCGGGTTCTTTTTTGGTTCCATATGAATTTTAGGAGTGTTTTTTCTCGTTCTGTGAAGAATGATGGTGGCATTTTTTTTTTTTTTTTGGAATTACATTGAATTTGTATATTGCTTTTGGCAGTGTAGTCATTTTCACAATATTGGTTCTACCCGTCCATGAGCTTGGGATGTGTTTCCATTTGTGTCATCTGTGATTTCTTTCAGCAGCGTTTTATAGTTTTCTTTGTAGAGGTCTTTCACCTCCTTGGTTAGGTATATTCCTAAGTATTTTATTTTATTTTAGCTATTGTAAAAAGGGTTGCATTCTTTTTATTTTGTTTTAAAGAGACAGAGTCTCACTCTGTTGCCCAGGCTGGAGTACAGTAACACAACCTCAGCTCACTGCAACCTCCGCCTGCTGGATTCAGGCGATTCTCCTGGTCTCAGCCCCCTGAGTAGCTGGGATTATAGGCGTGCATGACCACTCCCAGCTAATTTTTGTATTTTTAGCAGTGACGATATTTCCCCGTGTTGGTCAGGCTGCTCTCAAACTTCTGACCTCAGGTGATCTGCCTGATTACAGGTGTGGGCCAGGGCATCTGGCCTAGGGTTGAGCTCTTGATTTGATTCTCAGCTTGGTCACTGTTGGTGTATAGCAGAGTTACTGATTTGTGCACATTAATTTCGTATCCTGAAACTTTGGTGAATTCACTTAACCAGTTCTAGGAGCTTTTTGAGTCTTTAGGGTTTTCTGGGTATACAGTTATTATATCAGCAGCAAACAGCAACAGTTTGGCTTCCTCTTTACTGATCTGGGTGCCCTTTCTTTCTCATCTGATTGCTCTGGCTAGGACTTCCAGTACTGTGTTGAATAGAAATGGTGAAAGTGGGCATCCTTGTCTTCTTCCAGTTCTCAGGGGGGAATGCTTTCAACTTTCCCCATTCAGTATAATGTTGGTTTTGGGTTTGTCATAGATGGCTTTTATTACCTTAAGGTATGTCCCTTCTATGCCGATTTTGCTGAGGGTTTTAATCATAAAAGGATGCTGGATTTTGTCAGATGCTTTTTTGCATCATTGAGATGATCGTGTCATTTTTGTTTCTAATTTTGTTTATGTGGCATATCACATTTATTGACTTATGTATGTTAAACCATCCCTGGTATGAAACCCACTTGATAATGGTGGATTCTCTTGGTAGGCTGTTGAGGATTTTTGCATCTGTGTTCATCGGGTATATGTGTCTGTAGTTTTGTTGTTGTTGTTAGGTCCTTCCCTGGTTTTGGTATTAGTGTGATACTGGCTTAATAGAATGACTTAGGAAGGATTCCCTCTTTCTCTATCTTTTGGAATATAGGATTGGTACTGTTTCTTCTTTAAATGTCTGACAGAATTCAGCTGTTACCTGTCTGGTCCGGGACTTTTTTTTTTGTTGTTAACAATTTTTTAATCAGCATTTTCACTGCTTGTTATTGGTCTGTTCAGTTTCCATTTTTTCCTGGTTTATCTAGGAGGGTTGTATATTTCCGGGAATTTACCCATCTCTAGGTTTACTAGTTTATGCACATAAAGGTATTCATAGTAGCTTTGAATAATCTTTTGTATTTCTGTGGTATCAGTTGTATTATCTCCTGTTTTATTTCTAAATGAGCTTGCTTGGATCTTTTTTTTTTTTGAGATGGAGTCTTGCTCTGTCACCCAGACTGGAGTACAGTGGCACAATCTCAGCTTACTGCAGCCTCCACCACCCAGGTTCAAGCAATTCTCCTGCCTTGGTCACCTGAGTAGCTGGGATTACAGGTGCATGCCACCACGGCCAGCTAATTTTTGTATTTTTAGTGGAAATGGGGTTTCACCATGTTGGCCAGACTGATCTAACCTCAAGTGATTCACCTATCTTAGCCTCCCAAAGTGCTGGAATTATAGGAGTGAGTCACTGCACCTGGCCATTTGGATCTTCTCTCTTCTTTTCTTGGTTAATCTCACTAATGGTCTATCAATTTTATTTATCTTTTCAAAGATTCAGCTTGTTGCTTTATTTGTCTTTTTATTTTTGTTTGCTTCACTTTCATTTAGTTCTGCTCTGATCGTCGTTATTTCTTTTCTTCTGCTGGGTTTGGGTTTGGGTTGTTAGGGTTTCTCCAGTTCTGTTAGGTGTAACCTTAGATTGTCTTTGTACTCTTTCAGACTTTTCTGATGTAGGCATTTAATGCTATAAACTTTACTCTCAGCACTGCTCTTCCTGTATACCATAGGTTTTGATAGGTTGTCTCACTTAGGTATAATCTTAGATTGTCTGTTTGTGCTCTTTCAGACTTTTTGATCTAGGCATTTAATGCTGTGAACTTTACTCTTAGCACTACTTTTGCGGTATCCTAGAGGTTTTGATAGGTTGTGTCACTGTTATCGTTCAGTTCAAATAATTTTTTAATTTCCATATTAATTTCATTGTTGGCCCAATGACCATTCAGGAGCAGGTTATTTAATTTCCATGTATTTATGTGGTTTTGAGGATTCTTTTTGGAGTTGATTTTCAGTTTTATTCCACTGCTGTCAGAGAGAGTACAATTGATATAATTTTGATTTTCTTAAATTTACTGAGATATTTTTGGGGCCTATTATATTGTCTGTCTTGCGGAATGTTCCGTGTGCTGATGAATAAAATGTATATTCTGCAGTTGTTGGGTAGAATGTTTTGTAAATATCTGTTAAGTTCCTTTGTTTTAGGGTATAGTTTAAGTCCATTGTTTCTTTATTGACTTTCGGTCTTAGTGATGGGTATAGTGCTGTCAGCAGAGTATTGGAATCCCCACTATTGTGTTGCCATCTATCTCATTTCTTAGCTCTAGTAGTTATTATAAATTAGGTAACTCCAGTGTTAGATGCATATATATTTAGGATTGTGATACTTCCCTGTCGGACTATCCTTTTATCATTAGAAAAATATTATTGAATCAAACCTAAACATAAGGAATTAGTAAATTAGGCTTTTTAAAAATCTTTCCTTGGACAAGTCTTATACCTTTAATGTAATAGGATTTGTCTTGTTTGAATATATTAGTGTTAACTGATTAGAAACTTAAAATCCTTGGGCCAGTAAAGGACCGAGAATATCTGTCATAAAATTTTTTTCTACGTAATTATGACCCATATGTACCTATAAGTAAAGGCTAAAATTGTACTAAGGCCTTTAATTATACTAAAAACATAAACTTAAACAATTTAAAAGTTAAACAGTAAATGCTATTCCATTATACCAGCAACACCCTGATGGAAATACGAATCCACTAACTATATTAACAAAAATGTGGAATATCTAGCGATCAGCTAAAAATGAAATATATAGAGTTTGTAGTAAGAAAACTATAAAACTTTACTGAGTAGCATGAAAGAGTACTTAAGTAGAGAACAGGTCGTGGTGCTGAGCAGGAAAATAATGTAAAATCTTCATTTTCTTCAGAATAATCTGTAAATTTAGTGTAATACCAATCATAGCCCCCAAAAATGGGGTTGGGAGTGGGGGAGAGGTGGGAGAGTTAGGAGAGGGAGAGAAGGGAGAAAGCAAAAGAAAGAGACTGTGTGATTGTGTTTTAGAAGGACAGAGTTGAGCTTAGTGGAATGATTTAGCTGGAACTGTGCCATCCAATAAAGTAGCCATGAGCCACATGTTACTGTTTAAAGTGGTTAAAATTTAATAGATTTTTTTATTTTTCTTTGAGACGGAGTTTCGCTCTTGTTCCCCAGACTGGAGTGCAACAGTGCGATCTCGGCTCACTGCAACTTCCGCCTTGTGGGTTCAAGCATTTCTCCTGCCTCAGCCTCCCACCTAGCTGGGATTACAAGCACCCACCACCACGCCCAGCTAATTTTTGTATTTTCGTATTTTTAGTAGAGACAGGGTTTTGCCGTGTTGGCCAGGCTGGTCTCCAACTCCTCACCTCAGGTGATCCACCCACTTCGGCCTCCCAAAGTGCTGGGATTACAGGCATGAGCCACCGCACCCAGCCAAAATTTAACAAAATTTAAAATTTAAATTTTATTCTGTTAATGTGGTAGGTCACATTTGTTGATGTTCCTTTATTGAGCTATCATTACCTCCCAGGGTTAAATCTCACTTGATATGGTAAGTAATCCTTTTAATGTGCTTTGAATCTGCTAGTATCTTGTTGAGAATTTTAAAGTCTATGTTTATCAGGCGTATCAGCCTGAAATATTCTTTTCTTATAGTGTCCTTGTCTGGCTTTGGGATCAGGGTAATTCTGGCCTTGTAAAATAAATTTGAAAGAATTTGAGAAGAGTTTGGTATTTCCTATTCAGTTTTTGAGGACAGTTTGAGAAGGACTGGTATTAGTTCTTCTTTAAATGTTTGGTAGACTTCAGTCATGAACTCATACTCTGGGCTTTTCTTTAATAGAAGATCTTTGATTACTGATAATCAGATTATTGATAATCAGACTTGTAATGCTCTGTTTAGAATTTCTATTTTTTCTTAATTCAGTCTAAGTAGGTTTACATTTCTAGGAATTTATCTTTCTTCTTGGTTAACCAATTTGTTGGCATATAATTGTTCATGGTAGTTCCTTATGATCTTTTGTATTTCTATTGTATCAGTTTTAGTGTCTCCTCTTTCATTTCACAGCATTTACAATAGCACCAAAAAATAAAATGCATAGGAATAAATTTAACCAAAGAGGTAAAATATCTGTACATTGAAAACTATAAAACATTGGTGAATGAAACTGAAGAAAACACAGATAAATGGGAAGATATCCCATTTCATGATTGGGGAGATTAATATTGTTAAAACGTTCATACTACCCAAAACAATCTGGATTCAATGTAGTCCCTTTGAAAGTTTCAGTGATATTTTTCATAAAAGTAGAAAATATGCTTCTAAAATTAGTGTGGAACCACGGAAAACCCCAAATAGCCAAAGCAATCTTGAACAAAAAGAACAAAGTTTAAGGCATCATCCTACCTGGTCTCAAAATCTGCTTCAAAGCTGTAGTAATGAAAACAGCATGGTACTGGCATAAAAACAAACAGACCGATGGAATGAAGTAGAATTGAGAGCTCAGAAATAAATCTACACATTTATGGTAAATTGATCTTCAGAAAAAATATCAAGAACACACATTGGGGAAAGGACCCTTTCTTCATTATATGGTATTGAAATAACTGAATATCCACATGCAGAGAATGAAATTGAATCCTTATCTCATACCATATGCAAAAATCAACTTAAAATACATTCAGGATTTAAATGTTAAGAACAGACACTATAAGACTACTGAAAGAAATCATCGGGGAAAAGCAACAGGACGTGGAGGCCCACGCCTGTAATCCCAGCACTTTTGGAAGCCTGAGGTGTGCAGATCACCTGAGGTCTGGGGTTCGAGACCAGCCTGGCCAACATGGTGAGACCCCGTCTCTACTAAAAATACAAAAATTAGCCAGGCATAGTGGCTCCTAACTGTAATCCCAGCTACTCGGGAGGCTGAGGGAGGAGAATTGCTTGAACTCAGGAGGCAGAGTTTGTAGTGAGGCCAGATCATGCCACTCCAGCCTAAGCGGCAGAATAAGATTCCATCCGTCTCAAGAAGGAAGGGAGGAAGGAAGGGAGGGAAGGAGGGAAGAAGGGAGCGAGGAAAGGAAGGAAGAAGACATAGAGGAAAAGCTTCTTGACATTGGACTGAGCAGAAAGAAAGAGAAAGAAAGGAAAAAGGAAGGAGGAAAGAAAGGAAGGAAGGAAAACATAGGGGAAAAGCTTCTTGACATTGGACTGAGCAGATATTTTGAAACCCGAAAGCATAGACAATAGAAACAAAAACAAATGGGATTGCATCAAGCTTCTGCCTAGCAAAAGCAACAATCAGCA